ATTTAAATGTCACACCTGAACGCTCACATCCTTTTAATTATGTTTGAAATTATGAACATTGCTCAACATCATGAAAATTAAACCTTATTTTCAATAAGCAATCCTGAAAAATATTTGGGGGTGCTTAACTTTTTTCCAGGTGTATATTTGCACTGCTTAACTTTTCTGTTTATTATTACAAGTAAAAGTAAATAAAAATAATTGTAAGCATCAACAAATACTTAACTAAAAGTAGATAAAATGTTTGAAAAAATGTACGCTCTTTTAGAAGTATGTTAGATTCGAACACTATGGAATATACTAGTTTAACTAACATGTAGATATTCCTCTAAAGTACAATTCCACATTACAGAAAGCGTTCAAACTTATATATATATTATAAATCATATGCATCACACTAATAGTAATATAGTACAGTTTGACTTCATGTCTGATTATTCTTATACTAAACTATCATTTAACTTAAAATCTATGTATTTCTCAAAAGGAATGTTTTCTACAAAATTTAATATACAAAACATTCAAACTCGTGAAATTCATCATACTCGTCCGATCTTCCTGACACTAATTTAACTTATGGTCTACATAGTCTTTAAAAGGGTTGTTTCATGTTACTTTGTATATAAAATGTTCAAAATTTAGATATTTTCGTATGAATCATATTAATTAAAAGTAATGCGGTATATCTAAATAAAAATAGGCAATACTACTGTTCACTTCTATTATATAATAGGATTACGTCTTCTATGCCAGTGGGAATGCATGGTGAAAATGTATGAGACTAAGTAAGTGTGTTCTATAAATAAAATATAATCATAAGATTTGTTTTGTTTCATCTAGAAACAAGATTATTATGATACAAGAAAATTATTACCTTCAACATAACGTAAATCACTCTGACAATATCTTCAATTTGAAAACGTTTATTTTTCTTTAGTACAATAAGGTTTTCGATATTTGACATACATAAAAAGGTATATCTGTTAAATGCATTGTTACATTAAATTGCTCTGTAACAAAATTGTGAACAAACAAATCGTTTTTATTTTTATTAAATCCAAATTTGAACAGTAATTTTTGTTGGGATATTCATCTACATTTTTAATATCCATAATATATGCAATATTGTTCACAGCATGCTGAATAAGGCCTTTGCACAATTTTCTTATTGTAAGTCTAATTTTGACAGTTCTTTTTGATGAATGTCCTTATGCTGTGTTGAGGCAAGCTAAGGGGATCAAAATATTCTTCTTTCCCATTTTGACCAAAGTAGACACAGACCCAGTGACTTCCAGGCTTATGACTTGAATCCAAGTTGACATGTACATTTGTTTTTCTGCATAGTTAGGTAGCTTATCTCTGGCAAACACCCCTCTAAGTTTCTTTGTCGTACAAAATCTTGTGAGAGCGCATAATAAATCTCCAGTGTTCATTGCTTCTTAGATATCAGTGATAATGTTTTTGGACTGATCAATTTCTAAAATGGACTGAACTTCTGCATAAGCGAGAACATTTATAGTGTTAAGTAAAGCTTTACCAAATCATACTTCTCTTTATACATTTCCCTATATATATATATAAAAGTGGGAATCACCAGCTGATAGGTCAGATGCATATCCTTCCAAATATTTGTCATATTCTATATCAATTCCTTGATCTTGAAACTGTTTTCCGTTCCACTAAGTAATGTTTTGTAGCTTCATGCATACAGGTCAGCATCAAAATCAGGTTGTAAAGGTCAAGCAGGAATTTGTTTTCCATCCACATTGAAAGCCACAAAATTGATACTGTAATGTTTGAAATTGTATGGGTGTTTCTTCCAAGATCCATTAAATACATCATTATCAACACATCCTATAACAAGACGTGTTAATACTTGACCTAAAAATGCATTATCAATAGATACTTGTAAGTTTCCCTGAGGAATTGAAAATGATTTACACTCTGTATACTTCAATGGGTATTTAGCAGTTCATTTCTGAAAGGCTTTTGTATGCGACAGAACTACTGATTTTTACTTTTCTAACGTAGATAGAAACGTGTTGTAGATCAACTTTGAAATTTAATTCATCACTTGACATAATACAAAATGCATCTTTACTTCATACGACGTGTAGTTTTAAAGTAACACCATTCTGAAAGACCTTGTTTTGCAAAAAAAAAAAAAAAAATGGTTGTGGACAGCCAATCATCTCAACAGGTTGACTACCTCGAGTAGTTAGGTATCTGTCTTTGATTCCATCATTAAAGTAGACATCTTTTTCCTTTACCCATATAGACATAGTCAGATGGCTTCACCTTTATAGCTCAATAATGTTTCTATGTAGGCCTTATGAGAATAGAGATTGTGAGACGAAGAAATGAGTTTGTCATTCAGGTGTATGTCCACTGTGAAAATATAGAATGAAAATACAGATTGACAGGAGGAGACTTATCTTTATTTTTTATGTCCGATCATTTCTAACAATCTTTACCTTCACATGTAGATCTACGAAATAGATTGCTTAAGACATTTCCCAAACTGTGAACTCGCTGCCATTGGCTACCTGCACTAATCCATTTCCCACCTGATAACCTTAATACATGTCATAAACTACCTGGTCATTATAATAAGGTACTCTCATGCCGATGACGGAAGTGAAGCATAATGATGACTCTCCTGTGTTTAAATGGTATACACTGACCCATGTCATCGTTTATATCTATCTC